GAAAGAGTACCCTGCCATAACTTGCTTAATAATGGATTCCAGCATTTTCCCTCCATGACAGATGTTAAACTAACTGACCTTTAGTTTCCTGCTCTGTTTCGCTCCATTGCACTGCCCTCTAGCTATTGCCTTTTGAAAATGCTGACTTTATACACTTTGGTTAAACCTCCATTTTGTTCTAAGAGCAACTTCAACTTCTCCAATTTTTTTTCATAACTGAAGACCCTCTTCCTTTGTACCATTCTAGCAAATATGTTCAGCACTCTCTTCAAGACATTCTTCCTGGTGTGCAGGATTGAATGTAATACTCCAATTGAGACCTAAACAATGTTTTATTGCAGCTTAACAAAACATTTTCTTGCTTTGGATATCTAACATCCCAAATGCTACAGACTTGTCAATCTGCTCTGCCATCTGAAATATACCACTTCATGTTCCTGAAACTCCTTTCAAGCTGTACCATTTTGAGTCATGCAGCATAGATACAGGATCTTTGGTGACTACATCTATCCTGGTCATCATACACCAAACAATACCAATATCCCACTTACCTGCACTTGTTCATGACCTACTATGCCCTGGCATTTTAAGTAATCATCCAGATGCCTCTTAAATGTTGCAAAAGTACCTGCCTCCACCACCTTCTCAGGCAGTGCATTTCATATATCTTTCACTGAATGCAAAAAATTCTCAAATCTCCTCTAAGCCACTTGCTCCTCGCCTGAAACGTATGCCCTCTGTCTTGGACATGTCTGCCATGGGGAAGAGATTCTCATGATCTGCTGTCTATGCCTCTCAATTTGCACATCTCAAATCAGATTTGAGATAAGGTTAACTTCTATTATAGTAGACTGGCGTACTGTACCGCTTAAACAGAAAGCTAGATTTCCTTTCTAGTAAAGAATGGCATTATTCATTACACCACAGTGTAATTACTATGAGCAAAGGAACTGTAAGCTCAGTGCGAATGTTTTTATTGACATGGTCATATGTTTGAGCAACATTTTTTCTGGCAACCTATATATTAGATCTGCCAACTCACCAATCAAACTCTGGCTAGAATCAAATTACAAGTCTTAGTCGCTTACTTAGTATGGATACATTGATCAAAAATTCATTTTAATGTTATTTACCAGGTCTTTAACGAAAGAAAATTACCCTCCCTTTGAGTGTAATAGAGTTTTCCGTTCATGTAGTGCACCAGCTGGAGCAGGGAAGTGGTCATGGCATAATCATAGAATCCCTACAGTGTAAAAGCAGGCCCTTCAGCCCAACAAGTCCACACTGACCCTCACAACATCCCACCCAGACCCATCCCCCTATAACCCACCTAATCTACACATCCCTGAACACTATGGGCAACTTAGCATGGCCGACCCACCTAACCTGCACATCTTTGGACTGTGGGAGGAAACTGGAGCACCTGGAGGAAACCCACGCAGACACAGGAAGAATATGCAAACTCCACACAGACAGTCGCCTGAGGGTGGAATCAAACCTGGGTCCCTGGTGCTGTGAGGCAGCAGTGCTAACCACTGAGCCACCATGCCACCCTAGATGGAGAGTCTTTCATGGTAACGTCAGCCAGTGCAGGAATTTAACCCATGCTGTTGTCACTATACATCTCAAACCAGCTGACCAGTTAACTGAGCTAACCGACACCCAAATAATGTTGGACTTCGATGACAAGTAGCATGGCCTTCCATTCAACCAGGAAATAATTGGTGCTGCCGCTGAGTGTAAAATGTGATGAAGTGTTGTATTTGCCTTGCTTCTGTTATTTAGTTCAAAAATCATTTTAGAATCTAGTATATGAGTGATTTTGTTTTAGGTCTATTGTTCTCAAGGTTGTTTTATCACTTTGGGTTTTGCTCACATGCCATAGACTAACTGATTGCCTTGAATCTTCAGTATTTCCATTATCATTGTCTCATGTGACTACCAGAGTCGTGGAAGGCAAACCAGATGGACCTTGGTGTATTTAACCCAACCATTCCTATACTCCTTTTCCAAATGTGACTGGATATTAGGAAGCTACCATACTGTGCCATACAGGTTCACAAATAGCATATATAAATAGTCAAACTGTACTGTGTTGTAGATTTCCATGTTTAACTTCTTTTAAAAATGGACAACTTGCTGGCTTTCTGGACAACTCATAAAATAGCTGAGGCTGATCATGTCACTATATTTCCAGAATCTTCTGAGCCCCCTGCATTATGTAGATATTCCAGCAAAAGCTGACACAAAGTGCTGCCTCCAGTCAACTCTGGACAAAAAAAAAAGAAACCCCAAAGCTCATTATATTAAACGGGCAGTAATGCTATTACAGTTACCACTTCACCTTTGTAATGAAAAGTTTGGGGATGGTAAAGCTACACTCTTAGCTTAACATTCTTCCAATTCGCCCACCGAGATTGGCCTCGCACTGAAAATGCTTGTCTTTGTCACATGACTGAAAGCTGAGCTTGTTGAATTGTTTAAATATACAATTCTGAGATTCTAAGTTAGTTGCTGTTTGACCTCCAGAGAGAGAATGAGTGTAGGATTCCAGGCTGACTTAGCAGCCTGTCTCAAACCCTCCCATCTCTGGTTCCAGAGACAGTAGGAACTGCAGATGCTGGAGAATCCGAGACAACAAGGTGCAGGGCTGGATGAACACAGCAGGCCAAGCAGCATCAGAGGAGCAGAGAGGCTGACGTTTCGGGCCTAGACCCTTCTTCAGAAAAGTGGGAGGGGAAGGGGGTTCTGAAATAAATAGGGAGAGAGTGGGAGGCGGATAGAAGATGGATAGAGGAGAGGATAGGTGGAGAGGAAACAAACAGGGTGAAGAGGCGGGGATGGAGCCAGTAAAGGTGAGTGTAGGTAGGGAGTTAGGAAGGGGATAGGTCAGTCCAGGGAGGATGGACAGGTCAAGGGGGCGGGATGAGGTTGGTCGGTAGGAGATGGAGGTGCGGCTTGAGGTGGGAGGAGGGGATAGGTGGGAGGAAGAACAGGTTAGGGAGGCAGGGACGAGCTGGGCTGGTTTTGGGATGCGGTAGGGAGGGGAGATTTTGAAACTTGTGAAATCCACATTGATACCATTGGGCTGCAGGGTTCCCAAGCGGAATATGAGTTGCTGTTCCTGCAACCTTCGGGTGGCATTGTTGTGGCACTGCAGGAGGCCCAGGATGGACATGCCTTCCTAACTCCCTACCTACACTCACCTTTACTGGCTCCATCCCCGCCTCTTCGACCTGTTTGTTTCCTCTCCACCTATCCTCTCCTCTATCCCTCTTCTATCCGCCTCCCACTCTCTCCCTATTTATTTCAGAACCCCCTTCCCCTCCCCCTTTTCTGATGAAGGGTCTAGGCCCGAAACGTCAGCCTCTCTGCTCCTATGATGCTCCTTGGCCTGCTGTGTTCATCCAGCCCTGCACCTTGTCATCTCTGGTTCCAGATGTTTCTGGCTGAAATGAAGCTTATAGTTTGCTTACAAGAGGGAAAAATACTGGACCCAGCTCACTAAAACTATTCTAGGGCATTAACCTCCAGGAAGTTGTAACTGTCATAGACTGATGTTTTTTAATTCCTCAGGTTATTACCCCTCTTGTTAATCCTATCTTTTTCTGTCTTCTATTATTTCCCGAGTGTTTGAGGATGGAGTAGCAAAGCAATTATCTAATTATTTTTTGTTGCTAGTAAACCTTATCTTTGATTTCATCTGAAAATATTTTGTTAATTATTTATTTCAAAGCTTGGAACTCAAAACACATTTAGCCTATTTCAGTACTGGACAGAAGTATAGAGAGAAAGGAGTACATCAAACAATACCTTGCTGTCTTGACTCTGGAGGGGAAAACCAATCATAATGTTAATTTGCTCCTGTTGCTGTTTTGTCCAAAATATTCAAATAGCTCGCTGCCATCTACCAAGAAACATGTGAGGCAGACAAAGTGGTCCACTCCCTCTGTGTGCAGCCAAGGTCGTCACATCACTTGAGTATCTGTTGATTAGCTGGAAATCTCTGCCCACCTACCACCAGGATATCCTGTTTCAGCTCCTCCTACATCGTGTGGATATTCACTGCTGCAATGATACATGTTAGGTTACATGGTCAATTAGCCAGTTGGACCAGCTTTTGTATTTACTGGTAGCTGTTCTGAGCCACTTGCAATGCTTGGAAACGTAAGCAATTCATTTTACTCTTTTGCTGGCCCTCAGTGCTAAGTTATTTAAACAAAACTTACTATTGTAAAGGTATATTAATGTTTTGTTTAAGCATGCATTCTTCATCTCTGTGGATGGACCTCTAGTGCTAGAGTTTAGTGTTGGATTGAGGCCAGCTAATTCATTATACATCTCTTGAGTTGCAGCATTACTACTTAAGTGACCAATAAAGTTATGTGCACGGAAATACATAGTTAGTAGATGTATTTACCAGCTCATACCATCCTCCCACAAATGTTTTTTCCTGGGCTTCCCTTGACATTTCAAAGCACTTGAGAGGGAAGTGATGACATTTGGACATGGAACAGAAGAGAAACCAGGAACTTGAGAAAAGATTGTGCAGTGTTATGTTCAAAGCCTTTTGAAAGCCGGGAGTTATGGCAATGGCAAAGCAGAGGGCTTCAGAAAGGTAAGTACTGTGGCTTGGCTTAGATGCAGACTGAGCAAGTCAGTGATGGTAACTGGACAGGAATAAGGAGCAAGTAATAACTGAAGTGTGTAAGAATTGAACACTTGTGTGAGGTGCCAGATTGCAACTAATAGCAATGAAACCGTATGCTAGCAGCAGTGTGCCTCTTCAGAACAGAGATGTGCAAATGCAATGAAAAATCGGATATTCTATGGTTCTTCTGATGAGCTGCAACAGAATATTTTTGTAAATCAGAAGTGCGATAAGAAAGAACAATGTCTTTTAAGTTAGACTTGTAGACAACCAGCACTTCTGAACAGAAATACTTTTTAAAAAACGGTTGACAAGCATTGCAATAAACTTGTTTGTTTTTATTTTGCAGCTGAACAAGCAACAGCTCCAGACAATTAAAGAGCGATTTCAAGCCTTCTTGAATGGTGAAACACAGATTATTGCAGATGAAGCCTTTTGGAATGCAGCTCAAAGCTACTATGAGGTATGGGTGAAGCTTATTGACTTAACTGTTCCACAAGTTGTCTTACCACTCTACTGAAACTATTCTGTTCTGCTGGGCGTTTCTATGGTTGACCTTTAAAGGGCAATACCAACTTGGTCATCATCCAGCTATGGGCCTTGTCTATTGAACCTGATTCTGCAGCATGTATATTGTTGCTTTTCCTACAGTGGTTCCATAATTCCACTGGATTGCCATTAAGAAAGGGAATCCTGACCCATTTATCCTCCTGCTGAGGTGAATTATAGAATCCACAACTACCGCATGGCTGAGGTTAACTGACTCAGGACAAAAACTGGGAATTTACCCCGTCCATACCCATTTTGATTTAGCCCTATTCTCCTTCCTCTGACTCTACCTCCCCCCTCACTTTTGATGGTTTGTTTTGCCCTTATTGGGCTTTGTATGTAAATTATTCAATTAGAAACATGGGTGATTTGTTGGTGGTGATGAATAGATGGAAAAAAAAACCCATAGGTGATTCGCTGTGATGGGAACAACAATATTCATTTGTGTGTAAGAGCACTTCTAGATGAAGAAAGAAGAAAAGAAAAAGCAGAAACAGGGCTCTGGGGCTAATGTGGTGGAGTGGTAGAATCCATACCTCTTGACCAGGAGGCTGTGGTTCACAGTGCCACCTTACTCTCAAGGTGCATCATAACATGTCTGAAGAGATTAATGACAAAGCATCCGGAATAAGGGGCCTAGGACCACGTTTATCTTTCTGGTCCACTTGTTAAACAGAATAACACACTGTACCATTGCAACACCTTTTTAGAGTTATTACTGTTGGGAAGGGTCCATTCACCTACCAAGGCCACTTGGAAAATAATAAACTGACAACACTAACTTATTACAGTTAAACACTGTCAATTATCAATCGTTTAAAGAAAATTAGTAGCTATTGCACTTACAAAAACATTGCAAATGTACCTTGTTGAAGGTTTTCCATCAAAGTTAATGGCCAGTGAGATTGTTTCAGAGATAGTAGGAACTGCAGATGCTGGAGAATCTGAGATAACAAGGTGTAGAGCTGGATGAACACAGCAGGCCAAGCAGCATCAGAAGTGCAGGA